GTCCCATGGTTTCCCTTATTTGCAAAAACTAGTATATGTCTGGGACAAGCAGAAAAGATCAGATAAGATGTTGTTAAGTGAAATGAACCCCAAGATAAGGACACAAGTGGTTTTTTTCTTGCTTGCTATTGTTTCAAACGTATTTATAAGATACCATGTGATTTTTTGTTGTTGTTGTTGCTTTATATGTTCCTCCCCCACTGTATAACCCCTGTTTTCACTGTATTTGATGTTGGTATAATTTGGGAAGGAGAAGGGAAAAAACAAAATGTTTAAATAGGGATACAGGTTGACCCATTGTAACAATGAGATGTACAAGACACTGTTGAAAAACGAACTTAACAATTTAGGTGTGTGTGGGGGGGAGGTGTAGTTGTGGAGGTGGGAGGGAAGGGTTGGTAGGGGAAAAACAACAGGAGGAGGCAACAATGCTTGATAAGAAATGTACTCATTGCCTTGCTCATGTAACTTTCTGTATAGTATTTTCATAATAAAAAACTTATTATAAAAAAAAAAAGAGAGGGCTGGGAAGGTGGCTCAGTGGTAGAGCGCTTGCCTTACATGCCTGAGGCCCTGAGTTCTATTCCTCAGCACCACATAATCAAAATAAAAAAAGCCGGAAGTGGCGCTGTGGCTTAAGTGGTAGAGCGCTAGTCTTGAGCTGAAGAGCTGAGAGACAGCGCCCAGGCCCAGAGTTCAAGCCCCACGACCGGACCCCAAAAAAAAAAAAGCCCGGGCTGGCTTTGAACGGCGATCCTCAGCTAGGATTATAGGCTTGAGCCACCAGCGCCCAGCACTACAGACTTCTTTTTATTTTTTTAGTTGGTCGTGGGGCCTGAACTCTAGGCCTGGGCGCTGTCCCTCAGCTCTTCAGCTCAAGGCTAGTGCTCTACCACTAGAACCATAGCACCACTTCCAGCTTTTTCTGCTTATGTGGTGTTGAGGAATCTAACCCAGGGATGCAATGCAAGCTTCTGAGCCACCTTCTCAGCCCCACTACAGAAGTTCCTGAGGGTTTATTTTATCCGGGTTTACAGTTAATCTGTTGATTTCCAGTCTATCGTCAATATTCCTCTTTTTTTTTTTTTCCCTGACAAAACACATACATTTAAAAGTTTTTTTTTCTTGCTGCATGCCATTGGCTTATGCCTTTTAGCTATTCAGGAAGCTGAGATCTGAGGAGCAAGGTTCAAAACCAGCCAGTTTCCCCCTACGAGACTTTTATCTCCAATTAATCATTCAAAAACTGGAAGTGGTGCTGTGGCTCCAGTGGTAGAGTTCTAACTTTGAGCACAAAGAGGCTCAGGAACAGCTCCCAGTCCCTGAGGTCAAGTCCCAGTGGAACTGACAATAAAAATTTTTTTTCTTCCCTCTTTGAAAAAACTTGCAAAGGAATCAAGAGAAGTCAGTATATCTTGGGAGGTGTATATGGTGTATGGGAGGCAGGGCTTAAGGAATGATTGTTGTCCATATACTTCTTCAATATTGACAGAATTTAAACCATAAGAATATATTACTGATATATAATGTTGAAGTATTTTAAGTAAACATGTTAATTGTAAAGGGAATGGAAAATAAATGAAAGTGCAAAGAAGAAAAAGTATCATCTCAGCAATCACAGTCACCTAAAGACTGTCTGTTACTATTATAGATTGTCTTATTTGGAAAGCAATACATATACACATATTTGTACTGAACACACAATTTATTATAATACTTTATAAAATAATCTAATGATATATTGAAATAGTCTTCCAGATTCTTACATATTTACTTTTATTGTTTTTAATTTCTGTCTGCTTTATCATACTTAAATATTTTAACCAGTTCACCTTAGATATGTAGATTGTCTTAACTTTTTCTCTCTCTCTCTCTCTTTTTTTTTTTGGTCAGTCATGGGGCTTGAACTCTGGGCCTGGGTCCTGTCCCTCTTCAGCTCAAGGCGAATGCTCTACCACTTGAGCTACAGTGCCACTTCCGGTTTTCTAGTGGTTTATTGGAGATAGGAGTCTCACGGTCTTTCCTGCCTGGGCTGGCTTTGAACTGAGATCCTCAGATCTCAGCCTCCTGAGTAGCAAGGATTACAGGCATGAGCCACCAGAGCCCCGCTTTGTCTTAACTTTCTCTAAGTAATTCCTTGTAGTTAAATCTTCATACATCTATTCTGATTTCTAGATGTAGAGTTTCTGGGCCAAAGACACATTACTATTTTTTGTGGCATGATTCTCATAAAGATCCCTTCGTGGAAGGGAAGGTATGTGTGCATTTCTATGTATTGTAGGAGATGTTAATACTCGTTGTGGTATGAAAATCCTCCTAATAAGGGTTTTATACCAGTGCCCAGGTGACCAGTCAAAATCTGTTTTTGTATTTGTTGTTGTTGTTTCTTTCCATTGCAGTATAAAGGATAAAATTTGAAGATAAAACAACTCCCAGGTTCATGGTTCTGGGCAGAAAACATTCTGGACATGAAAGTAGCTTTATTTCTAGTATGTGATTGGCTTGGCTCACTGGAATAGGTTGGAGGAAAATTGACATGAATTTTTTGATGGGTTTCTGAGCAGTGATAGATTATTTGTTCTCCTCGGTGGAATGTTTTTCTAATAGGTCAAACTGTGTTCTGCCTGCTGGCAAGCCTAGAATGCTAATGAATGTAGTAGAGGGATGTTTAAACTGGAACACATGATGGATTGAAATATGCTTGAAAGTAGATTTTCAACTAATGTTTTTAAAATGAGAGCATGCTTAGTAGTCTATAGAGTTTAGTATCCAGAAAATAAACATTGCATAGGACTAGGGATGTGGCTTAGTTCATAGAGAGTTCTTTCTTGTCTAGCATAATCCTAGGTTCAAAATCCTCAACACCACCAAAAACAAAACCAGAGAAAACTATTGCAGTATTTGACCACCTTTTGAAATGTTTATTAATTAACTTATTTTAAGGTACAGGGCAGACACTATGCTGGCACACAGAGTTTTGTGAGTTTCACCTCTTGAAAGAGGATAGAGAAAAAGGCTTGGCAAATAATTGGCAAGTAAAGCAAACAGTTACAACTCTGTTAACAATGCAGCCTTATTTACTCTGCCTATCAGAATTTCTGAAATTGGATTCCTTGGCTCTGTGAACTAGTTAGCACAAGAGCCCTCTTTCCCTTTGGGGTGCTTGGAATTGAAAGCATGCTAATGAAAACCCAATCATGTATATTTTAGTTGTGTTCATCCTGTAACACTGTTAGGATTTGGTAGAGTATAAGGATTCATATTGAGAAAAATTTTTTAGTGGAAGTATATGGAATTGTTTTTTAGGTGAAATGGTTTTTACTGTGAAATGATTACATAAACTAAAAGGCTATTAACTCTTCAAGCCAGAAATCTAGTCACAGTGTTACTTTTCTTATATAAAGGAATAAAAACTTCTTTATTTTATAGGTAGGGCTTTGATTATGAGAAAAATTACTTAGGCTTTTACAAAGAATATTATTTCTGGGAGGAGGATTGGATGGAGGGGGAGGCGGGAGACGGGAGGGAGGGGGAGGATGGGAAGGGATGGGAAGGGGAAACAAAGGAGGAGGCTACAATGCTTGATAAGAAATGTACTCATTATCTTGACCATGTAATTTTAACACCTCTGTACAGAATTTTCACAATTAAAAAATACAATAAAAAAGAATATTATTTCTAAGTAGTATCTGTTTTTGTAAAATTGAGGTGATGTTCCAATCTAATTCTTTGTTAGGGTTCTTTAGGATTCATTCTTGTAGGAGAATGAACCAGGCTCATCTGTATATGAGGATACTTTTCTTCTAACTTTTTTTTTCTTGTGGTGCTAGGGACCAAACCCAAGGGTCTCCAACATGGCTTGACAAGTACTTTGCTACTGAGCCACTTCCCTAGCCCTTTTTCTAATTTGAGCAGTTTTAGAAGTGTTTATTTGAGAACAGTGGGGGGAAAAAAACCCAAGGATAAAATATTTATGACTATGAGGGACAAGAAGATTTGGGGGGGTTGGGGAGCTGGGCTCATGCCTGTAATCCTAGCTACTCAGGAGGCTGAGATCTGAGGATTGCAGTTCAAAGCCAGCCTGGGTAGGAAAGTCCTTGAGCCTCTTATCTCCATTAAACCACTCAGAAAACTGGAAGTAGCACTGTGGCTCAAGC